AAACAGAAACAAATAGAACAAAACAAGAAAATATTTGTAGATTTATTAATAATATTGAAACGAAATTTTGGAATAAAGAGACGACGACGACGACGACGACGAATACGAAGAATATAAAAATAAATTGTGATTGTGTGTGAATGTAATAAACAATAATTGTAATCATTTGTTTATTTGTAAAAATGTAACTATATTTCTTTTTGTAGTTTTAAATAATTCTTTTCCAACATTATTTATTATTAATATTTTTTTTTTCTAAAACGTCACATTGATGATAAATTGTTTATACTTTTTATTCAATTAATCATCAAAATAACGAGAGATAAAGATAAACATTTTTTATATTAATAATAATAATAATAATAATAATAATATTAATATTAATAGTGATAGTAATATTAATATTATATATTAGCAATAATAATTATAATAATAATATAATTAATATAAAATAATAATAATAATAATGACTTATGAATAATATTACATTCTTTTTCATTATAATTATATTATTATTATATATATTTATATATATTATATTTTATTATATATAGATATATGTATATATATACATATATACATATATATATTTATATATGTATATATATATACATATAATGATCGATAATAAATTTGTCGATCATATAATCATCATCATCATCTTATTTATTTGAAAGAAGAAAAAGAAAAGAAGAAAAAGAAAAGAAGTGAGAAAAGAAACTGAGAGTAGAAGAGAGTCGTGTATTATCCTTTCATTAAATTAATAAGTCTAATCAAATAAATTAAAAAAAAAAAAAGAAAGAGAGAGATAACTAGAGTACAATAATCAATAAACACAATCAATAAAGAAATGAAAGCTAAAATGCTGCAAAAGTAAGCAAGAAATAATATTGTTATAATAATTGAGTTTAAATATGAGAAGAAAGTTGAAATGTGAGATCAATGTTTTGATTAGCGTGCTTCTTTGTGTGTTTTTTTTTTCTAAATCTTTTTTTTTAACATTTACACGCTTAACATTACACGCTGCGCAAGGATTTCGTGGAAGTAAAATAATAAAAATAAAAAATGAGGAAAAAAAACTATACCAAAAAAAATCAACCGGGCGTAGAGAGAAAGACAAAAAATATATAAAAAAAATTTTAATGAAATTTAAATTCAAAAACAAAATGAAAGAAAAATCCCAAAAAACTTTTTTCTTAGTTTCTTTTTTGTCTCTCTCTCTCTCTATATATATATCTTGCTTTATATGTGTGTCTCTGTTTGCTTATGAAATGAAAAAAGAGACAGAGAGATAAAGCACGCATTTATATATTACTATTATTCTGTAATTAAACAACGAAAACTACAAAAAGAAATAGAAAAAACAATGGAAAAAAAAACAGAACCTCATAAATATCGAAATGGAAAAATGAAAACAAAAAAAGGAACAATAATTTGAAAAAAAAAAAAAATAAAATTGAAATTGAAACTATTAAAACTAGAACATTTTATTCTAATAGAAAAAAAAAAAAAATAAAGAATAAAAAAGAGAGAACAAAATAAAAACCAGTAGAAAATTTTTCCTACAAAATAACATATAATAATGATAATAATCGTACGATATGCGATAAACTATGAGTTATTAATCTAATTGCCAATATTAAAAAGAAAATAAATTAATCGAATTTACAATAAAAAGAAAAAAAATTTGAATAGAAATTAAAATATACAAATTAAAAAAAAAACAAAGCAAATAAAGATAAAAAGTATAGGATAGAAAAAGAGAGAGAGAGAGAGAAAAAATAGAGAGAGAGAAGGAGAGATAGAGAAAAAGAGAGAGAGAAAACGAGTCAGATTTTTAAAATTATTTTCAATAAACAAATTAGTTATTTTAATAAACAATAATTTCTATAGCAAACAAGTAATTCTCAAATTTTGTTTAATCTGCTTTTTCTTTTTATTATTATTATTATTATTATTATTATTATTACTATTATTATTACTATTATTATTACTATTATTATTATTATTATTATTATTATTATTATTATTATTATTATTATAATTTTAATTATAATTGATATATATAATATATGTTTGTTTGTTTCTTATTTCTTTTTATATTTTGATTTTTATTATTTTTTGTTTTTTTTTTATTTTTTTTTTTATTTTTTTCTGTTTTTTTCTGTTTTTTTTTGTTTTACTCACGCGCGCTGCGCGACAATTTTATAATATATTATATATATGTATTTATATATAATATATTATAATATGTATTATAAAAACATATATTATAATATAATTATAATTAAAGTTATTATAATTATAGTTATTACTATTTCAACTATAATTATTATTTTATTTTATATTATTATTGTTATTGTTGCCATTTTGGCAACATCAAACGCGTTAATATAAAAAAAATTAACTCGAATAAAATAAAATAATAATAATAATAATATTATTATTAATAATAATAATAATATTCGTAATAGTAGTAATAAAATGAATAATATATAAGAATTTAAAAAAAAAAAAAAAGATAACGTTTGTCGAACTGATGTTCGATAAAAGTTTTTATATTTTGTAAATATTCATTATGACCAAATTTGAAAAATTAGAAATAATTGAACTGTCTCAACCAAAATCATCGGTCGTTTTCTCTCTCTCAGTTCTAATGTTTTATACACACTTATTAATAAAAGAAAAATACAATATTTACTAAATAATACAATATTACTAAATATATATTTATATATAAAACATACCATTTATTTCAGTTATATATATATATATATATATTTATACATAAAGGTATGTATATATATATATATAAATTTGTATCTTATAAAAGTGATACAAAACAACGGAAGTTCAGACCGTCCTAGCACAATCATCACGAAACTTTAGGAGAAAATGATTAAGGAAAAGAATAAATATTGTGTTTAAATTTAAATTTAAATTAAAATTTAAATTTAAATTTAAAATTAAAATTAAAATAAAAATAAGAATAAAAATAAAAACAAAAATGAAAATAATAATAAAGTAAGAATACCAAAAAATTAATTAAACTTCTTTTTCTTTTGTTTTCTTTCTTTTCCGTATTTTTTTTTGTTTTTTTCTTTTTTTCAATTTTTTTTTCTTTTTTTTTTTTATATTATATTAATAAGAAAAAATCATTTTAGTTGAAAATATAAAAAGATAAAAAATGAAAAGAAAATAATATATATATATATACTACATATAATTCACTAATTCACATAAAAAGAAAAATATAAAAGACAAAGTTTTCGATTTTTATCAAAGTCATTCGATTTATCAGAATTGTGGATGATTATTATAATAGTCATCAAAAAAATCCTATTTTCGTGAAGATCGTGTTAAGTTCTTTTTCTCGGTTGGCTCTTGACAAAAAAAAAAAAAAAAATCACATGCAACTGTTCTTCTTTTTCGCAATACAATAAAAATAAAAATAATAATAATAAAAGTTATAATATTAATAATAGTCATTTTCTTTATCATTTGCTTATCATCTATTCAAAAAAAAGGAAAAGAAATATTTCACTTACTTTCTAATATACTACAATACAATATACAAAATATAAAGAAAGAAAAAAAAAAATATATATATATGTATATTAAATATAATAATAAAATAATAAAATAAAAAAGAAATTATAGTTACTAACGCGTCCTATGTAATATTATCATGCAATAAGCAGATAATTAATTATATTTATTATTATTATTATTATTATTACCTTTTCTCGATTTAAACGAGAGTAAGCAACGACGATGAGAAAAATAGAGCGGGGGGGATGATGAAACAGAAGGAATAGGAGAAGGGGTTAAAAGAAAAAGGTGAGGATTTTTTTATGGTGTGTGACGGCAGTTTGGATGATCGTCCGCGTCGACGAATAATAAAAATGATGATGATGATGATGATGATGGTAGATAATTAAAAAAAAAAAAAAAATAGAAGAAGCAGTAGATGGAATAGGAGTTTAAAGTGGGGAAAAAACACCACCACCACCATCACCAACTATCATCACCACCATCACCACCTACATTGCCGGATGTTAAATCTAATTTACGAGAAAAAGAGAAAGAAGAGAGGAAGAATAATATAAAGATAAAAATCTTATTTTTCATGTTTATACATACACTTACACATACATATACTCTCTCTCTCTCTCTCTCTCTCTCTCTCTTTCTTTTTTTCTTTTTTTTTTTCAATCTCACGATCAAGTTTTTCCATCGAGGGACTTGAAAAGAAGGAATTCGAGTATTCTCCAGGCACCAGCTGGCGATCAGCTGACCGTGGGTTTAAAGTCGGTCGTACATGACGAGGGTAACACAAAGAATTCCACGAATAAAGAGTACAAGGAGAAGGAGAAGGAGAAGGAGGAGGAGAATGAGGGGTGGAAAAGGGGAGGACTAGCCTGGGGTTTGAGAGAAAATTAGGATAAATCGAAGGGGTACCGGAAGGAGAGGTATATAACACACAGCTGGTGCCTGTTCTTTCGAGACACCCTATACACACATACACATGTAACAACACACTCGATGGCTGTTTCCGGTCGGGTTTAAGGCGTGTATATCCTCCTCCTCCTCCTCCTACTCCTTCTTCTTCTTCTCGTACTTTTTCTTCTTTTCGAGCAAAGGCCTCTCGAAGCATGAGAACGAAGCAGTTGATGATCAAATTGGTTTGGTAAAAACTTAACGGTTGTTGTTGTTGTTGGCTGTAGCTTTAGCTTTTAATCATCTTGATGTGTTCCCTTTAAACCGTAACGATGACAAGGTTCAAAGGATATAAGGAACGTCGTTTACAGTGGTGCCATTGATGATGGGGAAAAGAAAGGAAGGGTAGTAGTATTGGAGGGATAGAAAAAGGTGTCCGAGGGGGACTCGTAGTTTGAAGAAATCGAGATCGTAGAGTCGCTTGCTCGGTTGGTTGGTTGTTGATTGGTTGGTTGCTTGGCTGGTTGATTGATTGGTTTGTTGGTTGGTTGGTTGGTTGGTTGGTTGACGCGAAGGTTTAGGAAAAAAAATAATGAACTTAAGATAAGGAATAGAAAAATAAGAAGAAACTAATTGATCGACGCGGTGCGATCTTGAGGTAGTCGTAGCTCACTACTCAAAAGCCGTCGTTTTCCGTCCATACGGTACTGCTATCGATGTTCGATAACATATCGGTGACATCGGGCGTGCAGGAAAACTCAAAGTCCGATCCACTTCTAGAGCTGGCAGTTTCGAACGAGTCAATATCAATATCGATCTTGAAATCTGACTGTTGTATGTGTAAGAAATCAGTAATGGAATATAATTCCATTAAAGGAGCAATATTAGGTTGGTCCTCTAGTTTGATATTCGTTGACAAATGAGAGGGGCTCGAAGAAGATAGGTTGTTAATACTCGTACCACCATCAATTGACGAAGGTGTCGTTGTTAATACAGAATCGAATGGTTCCTCTTTTATAGAAAAGCTAGTTGTTTCTAGATGGCACGGTGTCGATGCTCTGATGATACCGGTGGTGCTGCCGATGCTGCTCCTACCGAGACTGTCTACGTCACAATTCGTTAAAGAGGTAGACAATGAACTCAATGTGTTGGTAATTAAGGGCAAATTGTTAGAAAATGATTCGGTTTTGACCGATGTGAGAAATCTGTCCATGCCGTAACTGGTATTTGTGGGGGTGGTGGTTTTCGTCGTATTACTCGTCGTTTCTGACGTATTGTAATCCAAATCCATCATATTTGTTGTCTCTTGTGTGATTTTATTTGTTAAGATTGAACTGGTTGGTGGTAGCGGTCCTGATAAACCACTATTTCCAACACTACGATCACGAACACCTAAGATKCCTGCAGCTGCTGCTGCTCCTACAACATCACTATCACCGACAGCAGCCGTGGTTGAACCACTGTCGATATAAATGTCATCGTAAAAACTGGCAGATTCCGGTGAATCTGGCGTGTCGCAGGACGGACTGCTTGGTACTTTAGCTGTGACAATTGGTGGCGTTGGAGTATAATCGAGTGACATTTTATCCAATGCAAGTTTGACCTTTATCCTTGATATAGGCTTCGTGGTGGATGTATTTGACTGCAACCTCTTGAACGGTTGTGACTGTCTGACGGAATCGTTTCGCGATTTTGTATGAGAAGTTGGCATAAATGACTCTGTTAACGACGTATTATTATTACTGGATGATTTCCTCGATCTTTTATTTGGCAAAGATTCTTTTGTTTTTGGTGAGGGCGTTGGTTTGCTCGTCTTTTTTCGTGGCCTATATTTGTAATTTGGATATTCCTTTAAATGTAATTGTCTTAATCTTTCAGCCTCCTCGATGAATGGTCTTCTCTGGCTCTCGTTCAATGTTTTCCATTCTTTACCAAGTCTTTTACTGATTTCTGCATTGTGCATATCAGGTTGTACCTCACAAATCTTCCTGCGTTCAATCTGTGACCAGACCATGAACGCGTTCATTGGCCGTTTAATGTGATTCGGATTGTTCTTTTTTGTCTGTAACAAATAAAACAAAGAAAACAACGTTTAGTATTATTAATTATTCATCATTATTATCATTATCATCGCTTGTTAACAAAAAAAAAAAAAGAAAAATAAACGAAAAAAAATTGATTATGAATGATTAATTTGTTTTTGTTACTTGGCGCACCCCTTTTGTGCTAAATATGCAATAATTTGTTTGACTTGTAAACTACTCGTCACGCGCTTAGTCCAATTAAAAACTCGTTCGATGTTATAATCCACGTAACACTAACATGCTTTACATAGTCACCTCTCTCTCTCTCTCTCTCTCTCTCTCTCTCTCTCTCTGTCTGTGTTGATATTTTACGAAGGCTTCGATAAACCTTTAAACGAGTATTGCGTAAAATACAACGCAACGCAACGCAACGCAATGCAACGCAACGAAGTTTAAAGCTTGGTACAACTCAGAGTTTGTCATTGTCGTTGTCGTTGTTGTTTGTAGTTGGGTTGCAATTACGGCGATCTTTACCGATAGCACGCGCGAGCGCACTAAGCCTGCTCATTGTTCGAGCACGCGCCTAATGCATATTCAAAGGCAAAAGTATTAGCTTTGCTTAGCAATTGGGTCGAGAGTTGCTAAAGGACGGTAAAGACGCTAAAAAGAATTATTTTCCACTCCTTTTTTATCTTTTATATACACATATATTATTCACCAATATCTCGTTTAACATTTGTATTCTTAAAAAAAAAAAAAAGAAAAGAAAAGAAAAGAAAAGTACTCTTTTAACGGAGTATATTTATATAGTTATAATATCTATATTAAATATTTTTATTAAATATTTAATAAATTAAATAATTAAATTAGAATGTATTAAAAACTTGTATTAAATTAAATTAAAATAGATTGTATTAAATAAATATTATAAATTATATATAAAATTTAATTTATAATACCTTGTAATTGTACCTTTTGTAATTGTAATTATATATTTATATATTTATTATATTTAAATTTTATTTAATTTATTAAATATTAAATATTTAATATTGTATTAAATATTGTGTAATTATGAATTATATTAAATATTTCAAATGCATGTTGTTAAAGTTTCTATTATAAATTTATTACACACACGTATTTAAATATTAGTAATGCATTTAATGTATATCATACATATGTATATCATGTGTAATATTTTGCACGTATATTTCTAAGTATAAAATAAACACAAGTACGTGACCCTCCACTCACACATACATACGTGTACATATTAAAAGTACGTGCAATTAATTATTTGATCTTACTAAGAAGTAATTGATGAGATTTAATTCGAACGATTCATTCTGACGCAACCCTAACACTATTGAACTGAAGATAAGTTAAATAAAAAAAAAAAAAATTGATGAGGAATCCATTCCGTGGGAACGTTCGAGGATTTTCCGGTATAAGCATCGATACGAAACAAAACTCACGTTTACAGAATCTTACAACAACGTAACGGGATTTTCACGATCTTTACTTAGGAGTCACTCTATCGAAACGCAACAACAAAAACAACTATAGTAATTACACTACTGTAATTACAATTAAGAACTTTTACTACATTGCTACTGGTATTATTGGGTTGTTCTGAAAGTTCATACCAATTAATGTATATATATTTGATTTGTATTTTTTCTTAAAATTCGTAAAAAATCTTCCAAGTAATAATTTAATGTTATAATTATTCGAATAGTTTCTCATTTTTATCAAAGTTGTTAGAAATTTGGTGTTTAATAATTACAGTTTTATTAATTTAAGGTTTTTACAAGAATTTGCATTAGAATTATTTTAAGATTGCTTTATGTTTATCCCAAGTTTTGATTTAAATATTTATTATTTATTAATTTTAATATTATTTAAATTTAATAATAATATTTAATATCTATTATTAATTTTTATATACATTTTTTTTTTAATGTTTTAATATTAAATTTTTAATATTATTAATATTGTTTGTATTATTTTATATATAATATTTATTAATTTTATTATTTTATTTATATTTATACTTATAATTATAAATATATTATATATATATATGCATTTTTAGTTTACTTTAAGATTGCATTATTATTAATTTCTGTAAAAATAAATATAAAAAAGAAAATGATCTATCTCAATACGAATATCATTTAATGATACAATCTTACAAATACAAATTATTACAACATCTAATTACCATTACTACTACACAATGAATAATAATTAGTTATTATTATTATTTCAACTATTATTTCATGCACATATATATGTATGTAATTTAAAAGAGAAAAAAAATAAATCAATGTTATTTTAATTTCCGTACGCGCTAAATTTCGAGGACACGTGTGTTCCTCCTCCTCCTGCTCCTCCTCCTTCCTCTTCCTAGTAAAACAAGATCTGTCTTTTAATATGAGCGCAGCAAAAAACAAACTCTCTCTTTAGTAATGAATATATATATTGTTTGTTGGTTGTTATTCACGATTAGACGTCTCTTAGCTGACGGAAGTACCAAGATACTTTAAGGTCGTGCTCGTACATAAGCGCTCTGTCGCATCTCAATCTCGTCTTTGGCCACACTCGTTGGCCTTCATCAATTCCGCACGCTTTCCTTATTATTATTATTATTATATTATTATTATTCTTTTTTTTATTTTTATTCTTATCATTATTATTATTATTATATATTTATATGTATGTGTATCATCTTATGTTGTTATTATGCATCTATGTACACGCACGTTTTGTGTTATTATAGTTTCACGTATTATTTGTAACAATACTTTGTAAAAGTTGCACGTTTAACGAGATCATGTGTGTTTTCGCAATCCTATCCATCCCTTTTTTATATTTAACATAAGTTGATAGGTGTAAATATTATAATGTAACCATACGTATAGTTAACTATGAATTTTAATGAATATATGTAAGAATATATTTCTTATTTTTTATGTTTAACTAGTCTACCAATTTTTCAGGATTGTATTGAACAATTTTTTTTTTCTTAGATCTCAACTATGATTATAATGTACCCATATGTAGAGATAAGTATGAATTTTAATGAGTATATGTAATAATATATTTGCATTTTTTATGTTCACCAATGTTAGTAAGTCTACCAATGTTTCAGATTGTATTGAATATTTTTTTACTGTTTTTTTTTCTTTTTTTTTAGATCTTAACTATGATTTATTTTTAATGATGCGTAATAACAACGAGACTGAATATGATATAATAAAAGACAATAAAAAAATAATAAAAAAAAACTTGAATGTATATATTATAACATCGATCAATGTCGTTAAATAAAATTTCTATTAAATAATACTTACGCTTCCTCGACAATTTCTAATCCGTCAAAATGACAAGTATCATAAATATAATGTTAACGTGAGATAGAATAATATTTGTATAATATATATCCGACATGTAATATTCTCTAGTAGTTCTACAACGTTTAATAAGCTATCTATGCATCTCTCATGTTTATCTATACGATGTGATCAGTTTATATATATATTTTTTTTTCTTCATCTTACGATGCACTTTAAACAAATGCAACCTAATCGTTAAATTAAATATTATAAACGACATATAAATTAAATATATCTATTAATAATATATCCATTAAAAATCTCTCTTCCATGTACTTAAACGTAACAAACTCATCGAACACAAATGCCCAACCCTTTTTTTTATTTTCCATAAGAATTACCAACCAAGAGAAAGTCGAAAACGTAACTCGCAGAATGCACTCTCTCATCCCGGATGCAACGACAATTCTTCTCAACAGACGTATTCATCCCACGCGAGAAAGGAGACACAAGAAAGACAAGACATTGGTGTGTTAAAAGAAAAAGAATTAAAAAAAAAAAAAAAATAAATAACAATAAAACAAAACCAAAGAAAAAAATATCATCACGTTTGGTAAGATGATAATAATGTTGGTGAAACAAAGGTAGAAGATAAAAAAAAAAAAAAAAATTAAAAAAAAATAAAAGAACGTGACGTGTGAAAAAAGGAAAATTGTAGGTGGTGTTTGGTGTCGAGGGGAAATAGGGAATGGGGGATTAGTGGAGGTGTAGTAAAATGAAAAAGATGTCAGAGTATATTTGTGCATAAGAACAAAAAAATCTTTTCTTCTATTTTTACTTCTCTATATAAATTATTATTATTATTTCTGTATAAATTATTATTTTTTTTCTATTTTATTTATATATAAATTATTATTATTTCTTCTATTTTTATTATTATTTTTGTCCTTTTTTCTTTCTCCCCACCTTTTCCCCTTGTCACCTTTCCTCTTAATTCTTAATGTTGGTCATTCATTTCCTAGTTACCTTCGTAACTCGCATCCGTGAAACATGGAATTGTCATTTGCCTTCGCGAACGTGAGAAACTTTCAAATAGATCGACTACCAACATAACTACGTTTAGCCATAACCACCCACCACATCATACACTCTCAGTTTCCCCTCCTCCCGAACCTCTCAATCTATCTGGCCAACATATCACTTTCATGGTCGATTCTAAACTTTTGTCCTTTCTAGTATAATTTCCGTTTTCCATCGGTGTGACGAGTTGTTTCTTTTTTTTTTTTTTCTTTTTGTTAAACACGTTAACATTATCTTTCGAACATTTCCTTCTAAACTAATTCTCTTTTTCTTTTTTTTCTTTTCTGTTTTTCCTATCTATTTTCTCTCTTTTTTTTTTACACTGAACTTTAATCTTTGAGGTACATTTAAACAGAATACTAATTGATTCTTCGTTACGTTTACAGAATTGTAATTTAGAATGAAGGAAATAGAAATATTTTTATCATGAATTTAAATAGTATTATTCTTGGTTAAGATTGTTCAAAAAGTATAAATAAATTGTTAAAATAAATTATTATAGAATCATCTTGATTGATCGAATATAAAAAAATTACAAGGTAATATTTAAATAAATCAAAAAATATTTTATCAAATTATTTATTATTAGGAGATAAAATAAGTTTGTTTTATATATA